ACCCCACAGATACTCTTCCTCCTCCTCCACCACCTCCTTCTCATCCTTCTCCTCCTCCTCATCCTCCTCTCTTAACTTTCAAATTGCAGAGTATGCAGATAGCAGCAATGACTTTCATGTAACTGATAAAATGAACATTTTCCTCATACTGACTTCACTATTTTGGGAGTTTTGTTTTAGTACAGCAAACATCTGACCTCTTATTTAGGAAAATCTGCCTTAGAAGTTTTGCTGAAAATAACCATTATCAGATAAATCTACTTGCGACCTTTAGGGTTTTTTTTTAATTTTTGCCACTAGTATGCTCCCTCACGTTCTGAGCTCTTGCTGCAAGAGCTGTTTTGACTGGTATAAAATAGAAATGGATCAGGAGAGAAAAACATTAAGTATTTAAAAAAACCACCACCTGTTACAGTTTGCCTGCATACTGGTAGGTCATGTCCCTGAACAGCACAGCCAAACTGGGGAGCTCCTCTGCAGCAGTTGTGCTTGCTCCACTGTTAAGAAATCATTATTAGAGATTGATGCCATTAAGAAATTAATATTTTCCTTTTTCTTCAACAGCAATACAAGGAAGAATTTATGGCAAAGCTTCTAAACCAAACTACTGGAATTGCCGTAAAAGCAAAAGAATTAATACTGGTGATAATCTGCCCCTCTAGTTATGCCAGTGGCGTGCTGAGCTGTAAGATAGAGCTCTCTGTGTTTTCTGACATTTGCCACAATTAAGCAGTTAAAAGATTTTTTCAAGTTAAAACTTGGTTATCACTAATGAGGTTCCAGTTTTCCTCCCTATGCCTTTTCCTTGTTGATTACCAGGGGGATATATTTGGATTCACTTCAGAACCATAAATCTGCTGTTTACTAGGAGGTTTCTGCAGCATCTGGCTCCAGCCCTGCTGACTGGCAGGGAGCAGACCTCAGAGAGGGGAGGGGAGTTCTGCTTTCTGTAGGGCTTTGCACTCGTCACAGGGATGCTGCTGTGGTGTCATGGTTAAAAAATGTTAGCTTTGCTTTTGTTGGTTGATATTGCAAAATGATTCCTGACATTTCTGCTTTGTATTTCCAGAGAACTCTGTTTCAATCTTGGACTGTACTTTTAATTGGAAAAAAAAAAAAAAAAAAATAAAGTGCCTTCCATTGAAAGAGCTTAGTTCAGATTATATTTGTTTAATGTATTGGTTTGTTCAAGGAAATCTCAAAAAAAGGATTAGACATGAATATTGAGTTTATCAAGCAGACCTGTGTCTGGATTAGATTATAATTGTCTTCCATTCAATTACTCAAATATTTTTGTGATCACTCATAAGAATATTATAGTTTCCCTTCTTTTTGTGGTTTCTTTTTCCTTCCTTGTGGCTGGAACTCTTAATTTTACTTCTGATAAAAGCTTGTAGCTTTCATTTAGCTTGCTTACACTAACTGAACAGTACACAGACCCGAAGATGTTGTCAGCTTAATGACAGTGAAATAAACCCATCTGCAACACCTAAATATGTGTGTGAACATGGGTGTACATAAGCGTCAGAGCACAGTGTTGTAATTAATGTCACTTAATACCTGGATGTGGATAACTGGAACACCGTAAATGACTGTGGTTACTGATTAAACATACTCATTGCCATTTCATTTACATCAGGGCCTCTGGAGTCCTGCAAGCAAGGTGGTAGCAGGGCAGGAGTCCTGCTTCTGAGTTCAGGCTAAGGCCTATAACCAATGAGAGCTGCCCAACCATTGGGAAGTGCTGGCAACACTGAGTGGTCACTGCAAAGGAAGCTGGTTTCCATCATGCGCTTGCACTCCGGCTCTGGTACAGGAACAAAGTAAGAAGTGGGACAGAAGTTCAGGATAATGCACCTAATAACTGACATTTCTGTAGATCTGGAAAGAGAGACAGACCTTGAGACCCTCCATGTCTGATTTCTAGGGGTCTTTGGCTCTAAAAGTGGTTTTGGCTCCTATTTGTCTTGGGAAGAAAATTAGTCTGGGTGGAATTACCTAAGTATGATAGAAAACTTCTGAGACTGTGGTCCTTAAGCAATTGGGTAGAGCCAGCTACTTCATTCTTCCAGCCTCAAGCTGTTCAGTTTGTTCAGGCTTGCTTGGGGGCTCTTTTTTTTATATTAGTGGCAATATTGGATGAGTTTTGTGCTGAATTCATTATCAGATTAGGACTGGCTAGAGCCTTGCTGTCAAATTGTATGTCAGAGAGGACTGGGTATCTGCCCTCTGCCTAATTTATGATTCCATCAAGGTTAGATGAGAAGTGGGTGCCAAGATGCAAAGGTTTGTCCTGACAGCAGCAGTTGTGAGTGTGTGCAGTAGCCAAAGCTAGAGAAATTTACTGGCAAAAACACTAGGAAAACAATCAACATGGAAATAAGCAATTTTTTTTTTTTTTTCCTCAGAGTGGCTTTATTATCAAATACTTTATCTTATTTTTTGCATGTTTTCCATCAAGCTGTGGCCTGTGCAAGCATTTCAGTTTAGCAAAATGGAGTGCTTATTTCTTTCCTATGTCATCAGTGATAATATGGAATAAGACCAGTTATGAAATGAATTGCTGCTATCTATGTCCAGGAGGCAGACTCCAGACCTGTATCATTGTTCCTTTTTTATCAGCCAGTATTGCTGGGCCTACTGATATAACTAGAGATACATTTACATAAAAAGAAGTTGCATTGAGCTTTCATGGACAATTCACATACTTTTGCAATCCAGAGCAACTGTGATTTATTTTAGGTTGCAAAGACCTTAGTTTAAATGAACTTACAGTGGTCTTCACCTATGACATTTTCTGGGTTTTCTTTTTTTCACAAATTTTGCATTCCCCCAGTAAAAAATTCCTAATTCCTCTTCCCCTGTATATTTGTCCTTCTTCCTCACTGTGTGTTTATTTGTAGCCATTAAGATTCCAGGCATGCCTTTCTGGATCAGTGCAGAGCTTTTTCATAAATATACCACACAAATAAAGCAATAGCATAAAATATTGCATATTTTAGGCAAAGCAGATTCTGCAAATGCAATCATTGATGAAAAAAAAAAAAAAAAAAGTGGAAACGCATGAGGATTTTTCCTGCTTGTGATACATAAAATCTGCTTCATGAGAGAAGGACAGTATCTGCTTCACGCTTCCTGCATCTTTCAGTGATGCTCTGGGCAGTGTTTTCAAATATGGATACCTCTGGTCATCTTCCAAAGTTAGCTTGCTCAAGTAAAAGCAGTATTTAAACAGATAGATTGGGATTTGAATATGTAAAAAAGTGATTTTTTTTTTTTTTGAGTCCTGTGCATTGTATATAGAAAGGTCTTGGTGTTTAAGCTGATTCTGTAAAGCTAGTTTACCAGGAAATATCAACAAAATTACCATTTTAATCCAACTGGTTATTTTCTTCAGAGCAATTCTGCAGCAAATCTGCCCCATTTGTGCTGCTCCTTGGTTATAGTACTCTTGAGAGACTCCAGACTGGTAGACTAAAAAGCTAGTGAAAGCTTTTGTATAAAAGTAACCGTATGGCATTTGGTCTTTTATAGCTCATAAAGATATTCAGAAATATTTACTTTCTTTTTTTGTTATTATTTGTTGTTTTGGAGACCTTTGTTCTGAACAGAGCTGTCATAAATAGACTCAGCAACCAGTAAATCCATTGGGCCCTCCACAGACTAGAAAAACATCTGTCTCTTCTGTGACGCTGAGAATGGGCTCCAGAGATTTCCCTGACTCAGACAAAATGAGCAAATGTTCTCCTTTGACAAGCTGAAGTAACCCACTTCATAAAGCATAATTCGCTTCCAATCAAGTCTCCTCCCATTCCTACTTTATTCCAGCCTCTGTCTGAGTTTTCAGCTGGATCTAAATACCAGTCTGCTTACTTTAGTTATGTTTAATATAGTTTTAAAGCTGTGGACCTGGATGCTGTCCTGGTGCCTGCGTATGATTCGTTGTGAGACAGACCTGAACTTCCTGTTGTTTGTGCCGAAACTGCTAAGATTGTGGTTTTCTGATTCACAAAAGCTTCTGAGTGCCAAAAAAAAATTTGTATTGTAATGTATAGTGACAGGATATAATCACCCCAAACTTACTCCAAATTGGAGGGGGTTGTCGTGAATAATTTACTGTTCAGATGAGCTGAGTAATTGCTTTTTTATTTTGCTTTGGTTCTAAGCAGACAAGTTGAGAAGGAGCTCGCCCTTTTTTGTTGTGTTTTCTTTTTCATTTATTGGAAGGATAGTTGTTTTTTGAATAATGTTTTGTTTGTGTGTTTTCTTAATTTGGTTCCTTGAACTTGGAATAAGAGGTGAGCATGGAAAGTATCAGTTTTCAGGCTGTGAGGGTGGGCAGGTCACTGCTGGCAGCAAAGGCTTTTTCAAAAAAGCACAGAAAAGAAAGCTTTGACTGTTCAGAACTATTTTAATGCATTCAGTGTCCTTTACAGACTGGAAGTGATGAGTACACTGAGTTACAAGCACAGATTTCTAAAATTGCTTGGTACAAAATGATACTAACACTGGACTGCAAGGTCTAAGAGTGGGTGCCTTTGGGGAATCTTGCTGTAATAGCCATGAAAAATAAAAAAAGAAACTGACTTTTTTCTTTTAAACATAGCATAAACATTATGTATAGATTGCTGAGATAAAAGAGAAAGGTGACAAATTGAAAATTAATTTGAAAGTGTTCTAGTGGGAAAATTCCATCTAAGCTCAATAAAGATTTTTTTGTTTTGTTTTTGGGCATTAGTTAAATCATTTTCTATGACTAGCGTTATTTCAGCAATCAAGGAACTGAATATCCTTCATTGCAGTTGAGTAATTTCTGGAAGTCAATCCCTTGGACAGCTGAAGATCTCAAATGTGTATGTAATCATGCAGTCTGCTTGAGCTCTAATGCCGGTGAGCTAACAGCTCAAGGGCTTAAGAAGTACTACTGTTCACCACAGGCTTATTTTTTATGTGATATGGGCTGTGTTGCTAATCAGATGTGCTCTGTTTCTGTCTTTCAGATTTACCACTGGATTACAGATTTACACGATTTTCCACAAATAGCTCAGCAACTGCTGGGTACTACCCAAGCCCTCCAAGGGAGCTGCTGCAACATGAGGATTCAGTGACTATGAAATAGGTTGTTGGCTTTTCCCTTAAATAGCGCTGTGGTCTTCACTTAAACTGCTATCAAATGCTAATTGGTGAGAATGCTGTGTGATGCTTCATAAAACAGAGTGATGGATTAAAGCAGGCTGCTGTGTAGACTTGTGTTTCACTTGTTGCTCTAGTCCAGCTGGACCAGGTGAGCAATGCATCCTTCTCTTTAGATCTCTGACCACCATCGTTTGCAAAATGCTGTTGGCTTTTTCCATGCACTGCCCAAAGCCTTCAAGAGAAATGTGATAGTAAAAGTCATCCCAAGTTGCATTCTACATTTTCAAGGACGTTCTCCCTCCTATCCCTACGTAAGGTGATGCTGTTGCTACCAGAAGTCCCGGGAAAGACGTGAACCGGACCCTCAGCCATATTTCATTAAAAGTTACCTTGGACAGCCCATGTCACCACCGTAGATCAGTGTTTTGCAGGCTCTGAGGAATTTTTTTGCTTACTGTAACTGTTCTTGGAGATAGAGAAAGACTGAGGCCCAAAGAGACAGGTGCATCATACCCAAAAAGATACTTGAATGGGATTTAGGCAGCTAAATGCAGACTGATAGTTCTGAAAGCTTTTGTCACATGCTTTGTGTTCCTGAAAGTGCCTAACCACTCTTCAGCAGTAAGGTTCCATGCAGGCCTTTTCCTCCTTTAGTCTTCAGTACCTCAAGACTCAAGAGTTCTTCTGCAGGAGGCGGAAAACCTGTGTACAGTTTTCTTCTCAACTGGAGTGGATGCAAACCTGCATTCTCCACCTCACTGGGGAATCCTTCCAAGAGTAGGAAGGAGATAGCACCCAGCTATATAGAGCCATCTTTGCCAAGTACAGCCTCAGCCCAGAAAAGAACCAACACTGAAGGTATGAACTGAATACGTACTTTCTTATCTGCCAGTTTAAGCAAATAGGCATCCTGTTCTCTGCAGATTCAGTTCCAAAAACCAGTTCTCCAGTGCTTTGGACAGGGAGTCTTTCCTAACCAATGCAGGTGAGAAAAAGTATTTACTTTCTTAGGCCTAGACAATTATCAGAATGGATTTAACACTTAATTTGTGTCATCACAGCTCACTCTGTATTTTTGCAACTTTGCCAGTTAAAATGTCGTGTCAGAGACAGACACAAACACCATTCCACCTCATTTCAGAGATACCAGCTTTTGTTTCTGTATATTTTTCTTACCTCAACACAGGATGTTGGTTTTACATTCTTGTGTTTCAGTATACTTACGAGTAATATGCAGCATTTCCAGTTTGACATTAAGCATTCTTTTTCAGAAAAGGAAACGTAAAACAAAAAAGGAAAATATTGAGAAAACCTTTCCTCAAAACAAGGTGCACGAGGAAGGAAAGTGAAAGTGCCACTCTCCTTTTCATAAACTACAGGCTGAAAATATTTGACTTAAGGTAGCACTAAGTAATACTTGAGTTTATTTTGAAATTTTCAAATTAGCATCAGTGTCTTGGGCAGCAAATCTGGCTCGTGATAAGGGTATGATTTGTATTAACCAGAGAGATAACCCTATTAGTATCTCAGATCCCTGGTCACAGCATCATTTAAAATTCTAACCTGAATCAAGTAATCCTCTGGAAATAATTTCTAACTAGGTTGTGGTCCAAACCAATATTGTGTACCCTCACACTTCTTTTGTTTTGAATTTGGAACTGATTTTTGTAGGTTGGGGATTTTTTTGCTATTTTCAGAAAAATAATTACAACTGAATTGTTAGTGAAAGTTAGAGTGAAAATAATCTAAGTAAGTCCTTGGTTTCTGGGATCTCAGTGAAGGAGGAGGTGACAGATTCTAAGGACAGCCTGGACAAGAACCTCACCAGAAGAAATAGATATACAAACTTGCACAGCAGGGAGATGACAGTACCCATTTCTGAATAAGGTTGTTACCAGCCATTTGCACTTGCTGCTGGGAGGACCACACAGTAGCAGAGAAAGAAGTGGATAACAGAAGGCTGCTGTAAGCATGACTCCATGTGCCACCACAACCTGTGGCTGCAGAAAGACTTAGGAAAAATAAATGAAGCATTTTCAAAAAAATAAAAAAACAAACAACAACTCTTACAAAACAATTCTTATTGAGGAATCTCTGAGAACTATACAGGTCTTATTACAAAGCAGAGGTTGGCAATGGAGGAACTTTAGGAGGGCAGTTGGTGTGGTGGCAATAGGAAAGCTGTTGGAAATGGAGGTGCTGTGGAGACCAGGGAGAAGAAATGCACATGGCAAAGAATTGGCAGAGAGCTGGACATATTTAATATGACACTGTAAAGACATCATCTTTGCTTCTTGGGTTTTTTTTAGGTTTGTTTTTGTTTGGTTGGTTGGTTTTTTTTACCCCTGGAAATCTCTGAAATTTCTTGGTTTGTGTTGTGGGAGAACATTGACAGAAAGATTACTGAAGTGCCTGCAAAACTCTCTTGAGTATTCAGCAGGGAGACATAAAGCTGTAAAGATTCATTAAAATCACTGTGTCTGGTTATATAGCCCCAAAAGCCACGGTTTTGCTTAAAACCAGAGATGGACACCAAGTCTCTTCTGGCATCTGTTTTGGTATAAAGCACATGTGTCTGAATTTTAAAATAAAGAGAATTTATTTCTGAAAAAAATACACGTTCTCTGAATTTACTTTATAGCAGACCAGCAAAAAGAAAAAAGGGAGACGTGGTCATCACAAAGCAGTGCAAGATGTTTGCACTACGGCCTCAAACAAAGCAAAACTTGACCCCCTCAGAGTAAAAGGTACATAAATCAGACCAAAATTAGTATGACTTAATACCTTTAATAAATTAATACCTCTAATGCCTATAACGAAGTCAGCTTTGATGTAAAGCAGAGCCCACGGCAAGTGTTTCCTGAGTAGGGCTTATTCCTGGAAGCTGAAGGCTTCTTAATCCCCAGTGAAGTTAAATAAGCAGAGGCAGATAGCTTATGCAGGGGCCGCGGGGCATTGCTGGGCACAGGCCTGCCCAGGGCACAGGCTTCTCCAGGCCGCTGGGCCTCCAGCTCATGTGGGTCCCAGGTGTGTGATGGGTCAGCAGCACTGGAGCCACTCCCAAGGGAATTCCCGGGAAAATCTGTCCAATGGTAGGCACCAGGAGCCAGCACAAACTGGTTTAAATCTGCCTAAGTAGCAAGCAGCCATCATCCAGCCTGGCATGACAGCCTCCTGAGGGAAGAAACGTCTGTAAAACAGGGATGGAGCATCACGGAAAGGCGGGTTTGTAGTTTGTACACAGATGGGCAACGTGCAGGTCTCTTGGGATGCAGAACGGCTCCAGGCAGGGTGGCTGGCCTGGCCCTCCAGTGTCCTAGGGCTTGAGACACTGTAACCACTGACCTCACCTGTCCCCTGAAATGATTCATAATGCTCCAAATGTGATATGCGCTCAAATAAATAACCTTTAGCCCTGCCCACGTTGCCTAGCATGATGTTTTCACACACACACACAGAATCACAGAATGTTAGAGGTTGGAAGGGACCTCCAGAGATCATCAAGTCCGACCCCCATGCCAGAGCAGGACCATCTACTCTAGGGCAGGTCACTCAGGAACTCATCTAGACGGGTATTAAAATTCTCCAAAGTAAGAGACTCAAGTTTTATAGCAACAGTTGACTATAAAAATTGAAAAAAATACAACTGTTTCACTATGACAAGTGAAAACTGCTTGCTGTGTCCCCCTAGGTCATGTTCTGCACAGGCTTTAGGGTTTTTATCAACCTTTTTGACAGATACTTCAGAAACTGAAGAATTGTATCATACATTGAAGACTCCTTATCGGTTGCTGTATCGTAAAATAGGATGCAGAAAATCATCTACCAGACACAATACACAACACTAATCTTTGTTTGATGGAAAATAAATACAAACTCTGGCCCAGCTCCAAGTCATTGGTCTTAGCACAGTCCGGATCAGAACTGGCTACAACCAGGCTGCAAACCATGTAACCCACAGAAAGGCTGGCTTATCATGAGCTTGCTCTAATTCAAAACTGTTCACTTGTGGTTTTCTGAGAAACAGTCATTCTCCTATAGAAACCTTTTTTCTTTCCAGAAGTCCTAATCTAGACACACACACACGGTGGGATGAGAATGAAAATAGTGAGAAAAAGGCAAAACCCCATGGGTTGAGATAAGAATTTAATAGAACAACACAAAAGGAGAAGAAACAATAGTAATAACAATAATAGTTATGAAACTATATATAGAGGCAGTGATATAGAACACACAAACCTGCACTGATGACCCCAAGTCAGAGACCCACACCTTACCTGGCCTGGTCCCCACCCTTACATAGCGGGTATGATGTCAGTATGGTATCTAATATCCCATTGGCTGGTTCAGTTGTCTATCCTGGCCATGGCCACCTCCCAGCTGCTGGTGAAAATTATCCCTACCCTAGCCAAACCCAGGACAACAGGGAACAAAAATGCAGTGAGTGTAAAACATGCTTTTGTACACAGCCTTGATGTCCTACGGTGCAATTTCACAGAAAGTCAGGTTCTAAAATAAAGTCACTAATGTGCAAAAAGGTAAAAGCTTCACATGCTGCACCATAAACTGAGGGATCTGGTAGGAAGATGTTGCTTCTGATCTCCATGGCAAGGGGACATGGCATGGAGCAGCCTGAGACGCTGCTCCTCAGCATCATGGAAGGAGCAAGATGAGTTTTCTGGTACATTTAAGTGACTGACTTTTAGTACAAAATATGCCTCTTTCTGTACACGTGCGTGGAGGCAGATAGTATTTCAGCTGAAGCACAGCATCAGATTTAGGAGGGAAAGCACACACCTAAGCTACAGGAAACCTCTCCGCAGAGCATGCCAGCTGTAATGGTACAATGGTCATAATGGAGTAGCCACAGACATCTGTTGCTGGCCAAGAACCAGCCCTCCCAGCAGGCACATAGACAATCCAGAACTCCCCAGGGGAAAGGCTCGATCCTACTGTAAATCCAGTTGCCTGTTTTTTGGTTTT